GCAGATGGCACAGCCTTGACAGTACACTCTGGGGAAGGCTCTACAGAGATTCAGCAACTGTTTTGCCCAAGTCTGCATGGAGTTCAGCCTTACCATCAGCCTGGTGAAGACCAACATCCTGGGTCAGGAGCAACACCTCCCTGCCTTCCACCTGCACTGTGTAAGGAACATTTTGGGCACCACATGGCAGGACAGAGTCTCAAACAAAGATGTGCTCTGCCAAGCCATAGTCCCGGAATGTTAGCACTTCAGCCATGGCTACACTGGCTTGCGTCATGTACACAGAATGGAAGATGGATGGATCCCCATGGATGTGCTTTACAGGGAGCTGGCTTCAGGCACCAGGCCTCTTGGCAAACCAACTCTGTGTTATAAAGTTATAAAGTCTGGAAACGTGACATAAAGGCTGGTAACATTAACCCCACTATGTGAGAATCCCTTGCAGATGACCGCAACGCCAGGAGACAAGACAGTCAGGTCATGTATCCACAGTAGTGACCTGAAGAGGAGGAAGGAGCACAGGGAGAAGAAATGCCATTGTGCATTTGCAACACCAAAACCAGATGCCTTCATCTGCCCCAGGTGCAATAAAACATGTCCCTCCCATATTGGTTTCTACAGCCACAATAGGCGCTGTAACTCTCCAACAGTTTGATTTACCCCTGGTGGCACTCTTCCCATTGTCTCTCAAGACAGACGGATGCCAACAGGTTATGTTCATTTGATAGCCACAGTAAACATGCAGACCCCCCTGCCTCCCAAAAGCTTTTAAAATTCTCCCTCTCAGATCCCTTAACACTATTTTGAGTGCAAGAATGTGCAGTTTGGTTCATTAGTTTCAGATATGTATCATTGGCTTCAGAGACAGAAGTTATTTTACCTAAACAGAGAGAAAACGCTATTCTCTAATACAGTGGTACCTCGGGTTAAGTACTTAATTCGTTCCGGAGGTCCGTTCTTAACCTGAAACTGTTCTTAACCTGAAACACCACTTTAGCTAATGGGGCCTCCCACTGCTGCCACGCCGCCGGAGCACGATTTCTGTTCTCATCCTGAAGCAAAGTTCTTAACCTGAAGCACTATTTCTGGGTTAGCGGAGTCTGTAACCTGAAGCGTATGTAACCTGAGGTACCACTGTATGGTGGAATTTCCCCAATCTGGATTTTTGGGGCTATAAATAGGTTTATCATGGCTATAAAATTGCAATTCTCACTTTTTTTATTCTAAATGTAAAGGCTGGGACTAAACGTTTGCCAACTGAAGACTAATAAAGTCTCTCAGTAACCCTTAGGTGTGCCTAAGGCAGGCATAGGCAAACTCGGACCTCCAGATGTTTGGGGACTACAACTCCCATCATCCCTAGCTAACAGGACCAGTGGTCAGGAATGACTGGAGTTGTAGTTCCAAAACATCTGGAGGGCCGAGTTTGCCTATGCCTGGCCTAAGGCATTCATGGCAGAGACAAGGGTCACATTTACACTGTACATTTAAAGCACTATGATCCACTTTAAATAGTCATGGCAGTCATGGCTTCCCCCAAAGCATTTCTGGGAGCTGTAGTTTGTGAAGGGTGTTGCTTTTGTTCAGAGACCCCTATTCCCCTTCTAAACCTACAATTCCCATCTTCAGAGGGAACTCTGCACTCTCAGAGCAAGAATTAGGAATTAGAAGTATGCATTATGTGGCCACTACAAATCTCTCCTCAATGCTGTTTAATTTAAAGAAACCCAAATGACATGTCTCCATGCAGCTGGATTACTGCCATTCATTCTGGTCACATTCCACCGATCCAGTTGTTCCTGGCCAATTACTTGTGGCTGAAGCAAGCCTAAAATAAGAACAAAACTTAGCGCATTTTATTTTAAATCCCCATAATGGCAGATCAGATTTATGTGAACTCTTTGGTGAATTGGCTCTTTTATTAGTGGCCTGTTTAATTCAAAATCTCAGCCTTCTTACTGAAGATTAATTAAATATTAAGCAAAGTCCAGAGCTGTATAAGCTCCTGTTCCATTAACCTAAATGTGACTCCATAGCAAAGCAGCATTGCATCTTTCTTCCTTGGTATTAGAGGAAGCTTTTAGTATTCTTCTTATGGTGAACTTAGACCAAAGGAAGGACATGCTATTTGCAATATGTGTTTTAAAGGTCATAATTTTTCGCCTTTCCTTCCCCTCCCCCCTAGTTAAAGTTCCTCTTAATCACAATTAAGCTTTCAAGAAACAATTAGCAGAAGCCAAAACTTTTCCTTCACTGATATATTTAAAGGATGTACCCTCTTATTACCAGTCCCGGCAGCGAACTAATTATACAGTGTAAGGTTCACCTACTGGGATGTAAATTTTGGTTTGAGTTGACACTAAAAAGAAACATCAATTTATTAGGAGATAAAATTTGTTCTGCAGTAATGGAACAGCTGTGTATAGAAATTTACTGCAGCTTAATGTTCTCACGCATAAAGCAATTAGAGTTTTCTGACAAACAGACTTGCTAAGTGTAATGGGTAACACGGAACCATATGCAACAACGTATGTAAGATTGATGTAGTTTTACTTTACATGGTAATAGCCTAGTCTCAAAACAACCAATATGCAAAGATGAACAGTATATATATGCTCCCCCCTCCTGCTTTACAGATCTATGTGAACAAACCTTTTAAAATCTCCACTTCCCTTCACTTTTTGAATGGCGAAAGTTTCATCCTGAAGATTTTCTGCATGCTTTGGAAGTTTGTGTGTACAGAATTAGCTCCATAATAAAAGGAATACATTACAAAAAATGCAGGTCCTATTGGTACTCATTCTTTTTTTTTTTTTTTTTTTTTAATATTTTATTAAGGATTTTCTTGTTTTACAGAAGTGTAGTGCCTCATATATATTTTTCCCCATGTAACATTTTTACAAATCCGTTTCATTTGTTGAGGCATTAGGGGGAGAAGAAAATAAAAATAAAAATAAAAAAAGGAGAGAAAAGAGAAAGGGGGGTGGAGAGAGGGAAGATGGATAAGGGTGGGATTGGGTGGCGGTGTTTCTATTATGTTTAATGTATGTAGAGTTTGGTGTCAGCGTGCTTGTGTTGTTCACTTGTGTT